AAAGTTATGCCAAGGCAATGAAAAAAGAAACCTGTATGGATGGCACTGAGAAATGACCTAAATCGGCAAACATTGCTTCTGCACCTGTAATAATCATTGGTCCAATATCTCAATTGACAAGAAAAGTATAATAGTGCATCACTCACTCTATTATAAGTACAATGTGGGTATAATTCCTGAGACATGGAAAGCACAAAGTGCTATTTAAGGCAGGAGTGTTAACGAGACTTGTTCCTTTATTCTATTCGTGTTTAATTTTAATCTTTATCTCCACCAAAATTGTATCATTGTGCTGTGAAATTCTATTCACATTTTTTTTGTATGGTTGAGTATCAGGGTTCAGAATCAAGGATATTAAGCCCCTATTTGGCTCCAATTTTTTAAAATTCATTTTCAACCACACATTTTATGGGACCACAAAACTTTTATCAAAATTTCAACCATACTTTTCATCAACTTTCACCAAACTCTACTAAAAACATGATTTTTAGACAAACAAACAGGTGCTAAATAAATTTGAATCACAATAAAAATATTATAAGTGGAAAATCTTTGCATGTTACCATAAGATCTATTCTAATGATCTGGTTAAAAGTGATCCATTCACCAAAATCATAAATGGCAATAATGCAGACTCAAAAGTTATAATGAGGAATTTGGGCTGATAATCACTCGTCAAACAATTCAACAAGAGGATTATCAATCATTCTTTATGTAAGTACCTAGAGAGAATTTTATACTAATTAAGATTTCTAAAATTGAAATGCACATGCTCATGTAGGAGATGACATAGAACACGTGGTAAATATACATGCACAGAAACACGTGTTGCAGAAAAATACATTTTTATGTTGCAGAAGGCAATGAAAACCATGTGATGAATGGAATATGTGTATGCACACCCAACTGACCTGTGATGCATAATACACAACCACCAAGTGATGACCATGCCTTGATGCTATTTTTCTTGAAGAATAGATAGATGTAGAAAGGATTGAATGCCCTTATGACAGTTACATCATGCTTAACCAGATTGTAAATGCCAATAGATCCTAGACTAAAGAACCATAAAGCCAGGGCAGGAGCAAATGTGAATCCCACTTTGGTTGTCCCAAATCTCTGTATACTAAACAATCCCACAAGGATAACAATTGACGTGATGACGAGAGCATCTGAAAAAAAGAAAAATAATGATGGGTAGAGAAAAAGGATAGCATTGGATACTAGTAAGGAACATAACGAGTTAAACTCTTGTTCATAAATAGTCAATCATGTCCGGTATTGTGTACCATCATATACTAGAGTTTTCCCACACAAAATGCCACCAACCATCGAAGCAAGCTTAGAAGGATGATAAGCAAATAGAGATATAATCAGATTCATGAAATAGTTGCTAACATATTCTGGCGGTTAGTCTATCTGAGAATAGAATAGAGAGAATCGCAATCAATAATGGCATACTACTAGCTAGCAACTAGAGCCGGAGAAAAGATGCTTACCCACCTGTACCAAATCCTGCTATCCGAACCTGCAGACCACTCACAGCAGACATGACTGCAACCAGTAGGGAGTATTAGAAGATGATATGCATAGCAAGCAGTTTATATTACACATATTCCAATATTCTCCCTTGAAGATAATTATAGTGATGTGATGCAAAAAAGTCAATAATTTACTTGCAGGAAAACAATCATGTCTGATCACTTGACTTGACCACAAGCCTGTCATAGGATGAACTATGTTTAGGTCGATGATAGAATTCCTTTATCCCACGAGTGAAATGCAATAACATCATCTGACCAATATGTAGTATGTACTATTGCTCGTGTATTTATGGTTAAAGCTCATTATCTATCACCAGCACATTCACTTTTACAGGTAGTAGTTATACTTATGTTTGTAGGACCCTAGAATATCTTTAATGAAATCTATTCGACTTCCATCTAGTAAAGTTTCTCATCCTTAGAAGCCATATACTTTTATGATTAAATAGTCACTGTTTTGATATTACATTACCAGGTAACATGAAAAAAATTTCTCCATTATTTACTCTGACAGATGTTCCTAATCAGTGTTCTCATTTCCTGGTAAGTCACTGACAAACCCTACAACTCTAGACATTTGGATAAGATAAATTAGCTGTATACTTAGAACAACAAAATTAAACAATGTGGTTTTGGCTGTCTTTGATTGAACAAAAACTGCTCCAAAAGTTGCTTGCTCTGATTTTCAATTCCACAGTACAGAAATATGAATACTTATTTACCTGATATTGCTGGGGTCAGAATACCATCCCCTATAATCATAGATGTTCCCATAAGAACCAGCAGCAAGAGAAGAATTTTCAAAGAGGAATTGTGTTCCAATGTCTCCTTGATATTCAAAGCCCTTTCCAACTCTGGAGTGGGAAGTTTGAGTTTAAAACTGGAAATGTGTTCATCTACCTGTTGGCGATTTGGAAGAAGATTAACATTTGCATACCTGCAAATTAGCGAGTATAATGCAAATGTTCCTCCTGCCAATAGAACAATAAGAGTCATGAACAACATGCTCTTCCAGCAGATTGAAAAACATGTAAAGGATAACCTAATCTTAAGAAAAGATGTCGTACCTTCCCCATTATCATTTGCCTTGAGCACCACAAACACATATTTTGTTAAAGGAATGAGAGCAATAGTGTAAATCACTAGCGATAATGCCCCCAAGACATCAACATCTGACGTGATGGGCACCTTGCTGAATACTTCAGAAAAGACATATAGGGGGCTGGTTCCCATATCACCATATACAACACCAAGTGTTTGAAATGCCAGTGCAAATGTTTGCCAAAGAGACGCGTCCTGATTCATTAACGTAAGTATTGGAAAGGAATTACCATTAGTGTTTATATAAACATTAACATTTGAGGGAATTGTATTTGTATATGCATCTTCTACTAATGATTAGTCAAGTCCTCTCATCAAAGCTGTGAACCAAATTGGAGCTTAGCAGTTAATTTTTCTTGTAAGATAATGGTTCACAGTGCAGTAACATGGGAGGTTGAAGAAGCTTCTAAGCTTTGAAACAGAAGATTGTTAACAAATATTTGCATAAGAATTTCCTCTGAACAAAATCTAAAAGGAAAAAGATGCTGGTGGCAACACAATTTGGACTGTTATCTCATGGTTGTGAAGACTGATGACACCAGTTCGTCGCTTCAAAGTGTTGAGTTTAATAGTGTATTATGTCATACAAGTTTAACTCACACCTTGTATGAGACTTCGAGACATTCTTTTTAGTAGCTAAGCTCCATAAGGATTTGTACATAGAAAATCATCCCTCGTTTAACTAATATTTTTACAATTTAAAAGTTCCCGGAATTTTCTAGTAATGGCACCCGTATATGGTGAAAATCTAAAATTGGTGACAGTTTTCATTCTCAGTCTTTAATTCAAAATGCCATCACAAGCCCAAATCTTGATCCGTCTAACAAATCTATGAGAGCTTAAGCACGTCCAATAACTTAAGAATTAGAATATGAATAATGCTCAAAGCTCAAACTACATCAATTAAGACATCAAAAACAGCACACACCAATTCCCGCAACAATAGTTCGGTATCCAATTCAAATATAGTAGCACAGATATTTTATTCAAAAACAGAAGAATGAGCACTTAAATCATATAAGTGAATATATTCTTAAAAAGATATAATTTTGACCTTGTTATGGTGGCCATGAGAACCAGTAATTTCCATGGCTTCAACATCAAAAGAATCGACTCTTCTAGGCTTCTTTGCTAGCCTTCTTCTAACAGATCCATACCCTTCCCTAATCTCTTCATCCCCCATCAAAGACCACGGCGGTGACTCTGAATCCACTTCACTTCCATCCACCCACCTCGATGACTCCCCATCGCCGCCGCCGCCACCACTGGCACTACTATCCAAAAACCTCTTACTACTCTCTTCAATCCCTTCCTCTTCCATTTCTTGTATTCCCTACACCACAAAAATTGTTCAAGGGACTATCTTCAACTATTTTCAGACGAATACCAGAAATCCCAGATGGCTGCTCTTCCCTAATGTTTCAACCCCGAAAATTGTTAAAAGGGACTATTCATTTTTGTTACAGACAAAGCCCAGAAAACCCAAATTGCTAACCCAACTTTGGTGCAGCAAAATAAATTTGGAAGAGTACTTTCAGTTGCACTGAGAATAAGATTATTTCTTTTGCTGTTGTGATTCGGGTGTGGTAATGTCGTGTTGTTTTATCTCTGTGACTTCAGAGCTGTCTCAATATAGACAAAAACTACAATAATTGAGAGTTGAGATTAATAGAAAATTGAATAATGCGGGTCTTACTTAATCGACGGATATACCTTATGGATAATGATGAGGGTCTCACCCAATTTGAGCTCTAATTTGTTTTTCAAAATTTATTTTTCTAAAATTCATTTTTAATTACACGTTATTTATAAAATAATATAACACGTAAATTTAAAATCTTTTCTTATTTTATAATCACATATTTTTTTCTAAAATCATTATTGAAAAAAAATTCCCCTAAAAAAATGGAGCTAGAAAAGGCCTACTTTGTCAATGTTTGGATTCCATTAAAATTAAATGTTTGAGAAAATATATTTTAAAATAATAAATTTTTGGATAATATGTACTTAAAAATAAAAAAAAATTAAATTTAAGAGTAATATTTTTTTATAAGAGAATGTATAGTTAAAATTGAACTTTGAAAAAATGTAATTTTTGAAAAATACAAAAGTCGGAGTCTACAAAGGGGTTTAGATGCCCTTTTTTTTACAAGTGAGGTTAATATAATGTCAAATTTGTTGTGGAAAAATTCAATTATATTAAAGAGTAATGTTATTTATACGTCATTGCATTCGTAATGATGTAAAAATTAATAGATTATATTAATCGATTTTTCTTTTCTTTATTTCTTTTTCCCTTCTTCCAAAAGAAATATTGTTGAAAATTGAAATAGGTAGAAAGCAAAAATTCCAGCCCACAGGCCCAATCTCGCAGGAGACCAGGTCCAAAAAACCACCTAATTATTAGGGTTTCGAACTGTATGTCATTCGGCTTCAAAATAATCAGAATCAACATTTCTCTCTGTAGGTTCTCAATTTCCCTCGGTCACTGCAAAAATTCAGCATGTGCGTGTGAAAATTTATTTGTTAGATTTATATGCTTGAATAATGAAAATTAGGGCTTTTCACGGCTCAAAGTTGTGAATATTGTTATACTTGGAAAATATTTGATCTCTGCAATTTTTCATATTGTAGCTGTACTGTGGTTAGATAATACAAAATGTCTCGAGTATATGTGGGGAATTTGGATCCGCGTGTGTCAGAAAGAGATTTGGAGGATGAATTCCGCACTTACGGAGTTCTTCGCAGGTAAATTTCTTTTCTTTTTGGATCACTATAAACTTTTCAGTCAGTTTTATTTCTTCCCAAAGTTATTTATTATTTCGTTTACAGGATTTAATCTGGGAATTTCCTTAGGTTTAGTTGCAAAATTGTGCTATAATATGATTTGACCATTGTTGTGAAATCAATGCAGCGTTTGGGTTGCTCGAAGGCCACCAGGTTATGCATTTATTGAGTTTGACGATAAACGGGATGCTCTGGATGCAATTCGTGCTCTGGATGGTAAGAATGAAACGATGTTTAAGGCACCTTGACAAATTTCACATGTTTTGACTTGATTTGTTACGCTAGTTACTTTCATTTCGCTTTTTATGTCATGAATGATGTGGTTATCAGCTACTTACAGGTTTAGTTCCTTAATGTTTCTTGTCGTTGCAGCTATTGCACTAGTTCAATTTGCAGGGGTATGAACTAAAATTTGTTTCTGTCCATTCTTGTTCACAACAGACCAGTGATACGAGAGTACTTATTTTTTATGTACAAACCTTTTTATGGCAGTTAAATTGCCTTTTAGCAATATGGTTTAAGAATTCCTCCGTAGAATTTCCTGTGAAACTCTTGCTGATCACGAGCTCTGCATCCACGTATTTTTTTCCACTTTGACGGGTTCTGTTCACATTGGCTGTCAACCTTTGATCCTTTTCACTTTATGTGTATTTTTACATCTTTGAGATTGTGTTGATATATTAAGTTTTTCGGATAGTATATGTTAATAGTGCCTTCAATGAAAGTAAGGAGTTGACCTATAAATTTACCTTTTGACTTGAATTATCTTGGGACTGTGATTTCTGTCACATTCTTTTCAAGTTGAATCATTGTTTGACTGTCATGTATTTGTATCTAATGCAGGAATTTACTTGGGGGTTTATGATAGGATATCCTTTGTTTCACATGTTTAGAATTTAGGCATCCGTCAAATGTGAAGTTATGTGTCTATTACAAGGTTACAATTTTTTTAAAACAAAACTGACGCAAACATCTTTTGGTGGGCCATTTATTTATGCTTTATGTTTTATTGGGCTTGCATAATGGGTTTGGCCCAAGCCTTAGGTTTTTTTTTTTGTTATTTTCGTGGTCGTAATTGAACTTGCAAAGCAGTTGATGAAGGAAGTTAATCACGTTTGGCTTGTTGTCCACTCTCTCACCCCTGTCTTCCATCTTCTCCCTCTTCCTCGTCTAACGTGCTCCCTCCCTTCCTCTTCTCCTCTTCTCCTTGTTGTGATTCCTCTATTCAACTTCTTCTCAATTGATTCTACATCAAATACCATCAACATTCATTTAGGAAAATCACTGCAAATAGTGAGCGAAACACACCTAGGAACATAGTCCACTTAACTCTTCAAACTCGGACAAACTATAGCATCAGACGCTATAACATGGGCCACTTTATTCTCATCTCTAGAAATGAAGTGACAAGGACCACAGTTCATGTCTCTCAAATGTGCAACAATATCTAATAAAATAGACACATGTGAGACTAGTTACATACATATGAAGTTCGGTCAAAGAATGATTTATCTTGCTTGAGTTTTGCATCACGGGCTTTTGATTTTTGTTCGTCACCTTTCACATAATGAATAAACAGGAAAGAATGGCTGGCGAGTGGAGCTTTCCCATAATTCAAAGGGAGGTGGAGGAGGGCGTGGTGGTCGTGGTCGTGGAGCTGATGACTCAAAATGTTATGAATGTGGTGAACCTGGTCATTTTGCTCGGGAGTGTCGCTCGCGCATTGGTTCGCGGGGATTAGGAGGTGGCCGACGTCGCAGCCCTAGTCCTCGACGCCGCAGGAGTCCCAGTTATGGGAGGAGGTGAGTTTATTTATTTTGTTTTTGAGAAAAACAACTTGATACTCAAAATAGTTCATCTTGCATAAAGCGTATGTTTGGAACTCTATTCGATTTTGACTGGCACTGGTATTATCTTGAAGTCTTGCATAGCTTAAAAGAAATTTTTACGTAAACAGCTCTGTTAAGTAAATGCTGAGAGTATAACCTATGTCATGTTACTATAGGAAACACTTTTCTCCCACCTATTTATTATTGATGACAGGCTCTTTATATTTGGGTCTTGTTGTTCTTATTATTTACCATATTAATTGAATCATTCCCTTAAATGAACGAAATTAGTGATTTTGTTCTAGCATTGATAAGTGTAATTTTTACAATTATTTGGGCTGTTTATTTTGTGCTTTTGTTGGTTGTTTAGTTCGGGATTGTTTTGATTTCCTCGTGTTTTTTATGCTTTGCAAGAGATGTCACGGTTGTAGGATGAAATTGCATGTTGGTGAGTGAAACGGAAATAAATTTACACCAACAGGCAATTTCATCCCTCAAACGTGACATCTTGTGCAAAAGCATAAAAAACACGAGGAAATCAAAGCAACCACTAGCTAAACAACAAACAAAAGCACAAAATAAATGGCCCAAATAAGTGTGAATTTACACTTATAATATGAGTTTTCCCCGACTCATATGCCACCTCTGTAAACTTGTTTGAAAAGTATCATTCTGTCACTTAGTAACTTGAAGTTGGTTTCACATTTTATTTATCAAGAAAAAGAAGTAGGTTTTTACTTCGCATTTTTCAAATAAATTTTGTTATTAAGTTCGTGGAAGTGGATGTATTGGTTTCTTCTCTGAACTGCTAGAATATAATTGATATTGCTTGTGAATTTAGAAGCGTGTTTTATTTGTCAGAAAACATGGAGTTTCACATTTTGTATTTGTGCAATTTTCCAACTGGCTTCCTGCTTTAACTCTTAATATAGGATTGAATGCTTTCTTCAACAAATTGTGTAACATTATAAATAGTGCTTATGAAGTTGCTCAGTTATTCTTAGGTAAGAAACATGTAACGTATGGTAAATCATAATGCTTTATGGTAGTCTGTATATTGTTGCTTGTTTGTGTTATGTTTAGGGGACTTTGAAACATCTATCACTGATAACTTTTAGGATATGAATTGATAATGGGAGCATAGAAGTGCAAGAGATACTGCACTAAGGTTATATGTATAGACTATCTGCCTATATGAATTACTTGGGAAACAAGGGGAGATGCTGTTGTGAGGCTTTTTTGCTTATTGTTACTTTTTTGCCCATTTACCGTCATTTATCGCTGTACTACTTGCATCTTGTTGCAGGAGTTATAGTCCTGTTGGGAGAAGATCTCCACGGCGTCGCAGTATATCACCTCGCCGTGGCTACAGCAAATCATCCCCCTATCATGTTGGTCGCCGTGATTCACCGTATGCTAATGGGTAGGTAACTATTCCTAATTTCAAATCATTGATTAGTTGTTTCGGTTTTGGATCATGTTGATTCTAGTTACTGCTGTAATGCATGCAGCGTATCACCTCGCCCTGGCTACAGTAGGTCACCAGTACACCGTCGTGGTCATCGTGACTCACCTTTTGCAAATGGGTACGTCGTGATTTCCACCTTCCACAGTTCATAGCTAGTTCATCTTACAGTTGTGTCCAATTTCTTAGCTGGATAACTCTTTGAGAATCTGTGTTAGCCTCAAATCTTGATTGTTAATGCTCATACCTCAGTGCTATTTTGAACAAATGAAGGGGAAAATTGGATAGTGTATGCTGAGAAAACATATGAAGGAAAATATAAAAGACGAAGAACGTCTAAATGCCTACATTCTCCATTGGGTGGGGTTGTTTGTGCTTTTGTTGTTTTCTCTTTTACGTTTTGGTTCTGCTTTCCTTTATTTTTATGGGCCTTACTTAATCCTGTCAAACATGTATGTATATTCCCCCAACCCTCCTGCCCCAAAATAATCAATTAAATAAATATATAAAACAACAGCACTCAGAAAAACCAAAAGTAATCTTCTCATATTTCTTGATGTGTTTAAATTTATATGAGCTTTTATGGATGACAGAGATTAAAGCTGAGGCTGGATTGGAAGGAAAATTTCAGTGATGAGAATTTGCTATGATGTAATACAGGACAATATGATGTGTTTGGAACCTGATCTTAGATGTGGCATATTTGCAAGTAGATGCAAAAATGGTGACTGCCCCTGTTAGTTTTACACTATTCAGTTCAAATCTGGAGGTCTCTTCATATTTCAGTTTATCAGAATGGTGCTATTATTGTGTGATTAATTTTGCCCTGTTGCTATCAGTATTAGTCCTTTTCCTCTAAAGTTCTATGTTTCTGTGTTTGAATTGATTATCAGCTAAAACAGCATCATTAAGCTACTTACTGCTTCATAGTCTACTCAGCCCAGCAACATCCGTGATTCTTTATGTGATCGTATCTTCTACTTGTAGAACTCGCGCTTCTTAGCATAATCGAAACTGCAATCGCTTCATTTCTCACCTCGTAAGCACGATGGTTAGCTACAAAGCTTCTCTAGGTAAGGCCTCAACGTCTCTCTCCACTGGTAGAATACTGAAGCAGTTTATGATCTTCAGACATCACCCTTTTTCAAGCTACATGGACGAATTGTTACTCTGGAAACTACATCAGGTTGCATCAATCTTGAAATCTATTCTCCTCAGGCATCTAGTTGACCTTTCAGTAGTAGGAATCTTGAAGTACAAGTGGATCTTGTACGATACCCAGAACACCGATGATACCTAACCCTTGAGAACTTAGTCTGTACATCAGATGCCCTCGACTAGGAGACAAGTGCTTCGTTAATACTAGAGTGGTTTGTACTGAGCAAACTACATGGCCCATCTCTTGCATGTCCCGTGTTGTTAAATGTTGTTCTGCGAAGCAAATTCTGTTTCTTATATGTATTTTATGTTTGGATAAAACCAAAATTTCTTCCCAAATCAATTATTTCCTTTTTCTTTTTTCACTTGGTCTCTGCTATTCTACCTTCTCTTTGCACCTTGTGATAGGAAGGTAGTCTTTATGCATGAAATTTATGCCTCTCGAGCAGTAGTAGCTAAGCAAAAAAGTGTGCCTGGTGAGTACAAATATTGACTACAGACCACGATTCGCACAAACAAGTAGTATATAAAATGCATTAGGGAAATGGCTTTATTTGCTCCCTCTTTACCTCGAGAATCACTGTGTTCCACTCTCAAAGGGGCAGTTTTTAATAATAGTCCCCGAAATTTGAGAAATTGGCACTTGGGACGCTCATCATACCTTTTATTTTATATATAATAGAAGAAATTTAAGTTAAAATTTAGTGACACCAGTGTAAACGAGACTGCGTTCAAACATGTTTACACGTTGAGTAAGAGAATCGTGAATGTTAATTGCCAATTGATATTAGATACTGGAAAAATCTGGAAGTCGCTCGACAGTTGATAATTACTGAACCTTCTTCTGAGGGTCAAGAAATGTTCGATGGCTTGAGGATGTTTAGTTTCCAGTTTTTTAAATTTTAGAGGCCTAATAGCCACTTTCTCAAAACTTGGAGGTTCACATTGAAATTCTGACCATTCAATTGTTTGACAATTCCTCGAACTTCAGTCTACGTGTATATTTAATTATGGGGAATCTTCAAAAATGTCACAAAATTTGAAAGTGTCCAAAAAGTTGTCATTTTCACTTTATGTGAGCAAAAATGTCACTTTTTGGGTGAAATGTCTAAATTACATCTAATGACACTTTTTTAGTAGTATTTGATGCTTGATATGAAGGAAAGTGATTGTGTTGATTTGATGATTTAATTTGTATATTAAAAACATGGACAATTGTGTATTATATTGATTAATATGAATTTTATTAATAAAAAATGGTAAAAAAAAATTTGAAAAATGAAACATAAACAAATATATATTCTTTTACCATACAAACCCTAAATTTTCTCCATCTTTTTTCATTTTTATTGATGAAGAAGATATTTCTCTTGCATTCATCATCGGTCGATTATTAGAAATTATTTATATTTTACTGTTATAGCTTACTATTTTGTAAATGTTAAATACAACATGGTGATACTAATGACCACACTTAGTGTGCTATGTTGAAGAATCCATTCCATCCACTGTCGTTTGCTTCCCAACATTTTAGACAGTTCATCAAATTTCATATTTACAAACCGTCGGGTTAGACGTTTGAAATGTCAAATCCGAAATTTACAAACTGTCGGGATATACAATTAAACTGTCGAATTGGTCACTTGAAACTGTTGAAACCACTCAGGAGGCGAAACGTTCGCCAACCACTCATCATCATGGTCGAATTCTTTTTCTTGATCTCGAATTTCGATGCTTCACTTGAGACATTGTCCAGGTTGGGAAGAGGAACAGCGGAAATGGGTCTCCTACCATTTCGAGGGATGATTTCGTCATCGTCGGACGATATTACGATGGAAAATTTTGGTAATGAATCAAGTACTAGCAAATGCTCATTCAAATTGAAAGGTTTGTTGCTTCTCGTAGACGAACCCATTATTTGATATGGTTGTACTTAGCAAAAGAGTGTGTGTACGTGAGTGGTCACTAGTGTGAAAAAAGTTATAAAATGTTCAACTGTAACTCACAATGAAGTGATGCCATGCTTTTTATAATCAACTTCTTGGACCTAAGCAATTATTTGTGAAAAATTGTAATTCTTAAATATAGTGTACAATTCGCTTTGTCCAAAATATGTTAAAACTGTGATTCTCAAATCTTGTGTAACATTGTAATTAAAGACACCTGCGTCTTATTATTGTTGGTTATCAATTCTCATCAATATCGAATTATCTCTTAATTGTAGCATGTTCCATAATCAAGTTTTTGATATTGAAATAAATTATGGATTGATCTTCAATCCTGACATTAAAAATATTAACGAATGTTGTTATTCTTTAATCGAACATAACAACGAATCCATGAGGAACGACAAACTTATAAAATTATCCTTGAAAATATTTTTTCGTCCTTGACACATGAGTCGACCGTTTTTACATGACCGTCGTTACATCGTTCAAAATTATGATACTCTTACACAATTTGCGGTAATCAGTATCACAAAAAGTAAGTTAAAAAAGTAACTTAACGATTACATATCAAGGGAAAACAGAATGTTCTTCCATGCGAAGCCCTAACACGTATCTCCCTGGACAAAGTAATGCAGTCTTCATTGTACCTTCGTAACAGTTATCTTCTTTTGACAATGCAATTGCTTACTTCTACATACCAGACACGAGTGTCCATGTAAGCAACAATATGCCTCATGCTAACGAAAAATGAGTCAATCAAGCATAATGTAGCCCATATAAATGGCATAAATCTCCGTTTATAGGGGAACTACAACGCATAGTGAATCAAATGTGTAACATAAAATACAAATCATAGTATTTTATACATGTTACAACGACAAATAAAAAAAATCGTAATATCATAGTATTTCATAGATGTTAATGCAAAATATATGTACAGTGTTCGGATGAGGTGACATGGACATGTGGAACGGTTATGTGCCGAGGAAAGGAACCGTCGTTCCCGACAGTTCATTTATCAAAAGTTCATTTGTCGAGAATTACTGAAACTAACTGTCGGAACGATAGTTCAGGGACTACTGAAGTGAACTGTCAATAGATGAACTGTCAAGAAATCTACTTTTAAAAGCTACTAAGCAATTTATACTACCAAATTAGTCGAGAAAAGTTTGAAAGCCATAAGACTAACAACATCAAAGCCTACATCTTCCAAAAGTCAATCAAAAGTCAACTACTAAGTAATACATAATTAAATCTTGAAGGTTCCTTCATGGAGGAATAGATATTTGGGAACACTACTACCGTAACAGAAACCATACAGACCAATTGTAACTAGCAGATTGGCAAAATTTAGAGCTTTTCCAGCCGGATGGAATCCAAAGTCACTGGAAATCCCAACCCATAACAAACAGAGAACTACGACAACCAAAGTGACTACAGATTTGCTAAGCTTGTGCTACAGATTCGTAAAGGTAAGAGAACAAAATGTACAAGAAAAATTGGATGTGAATTATCGTCTTATATGAAAATGACATTTAGTGGCACCAATCAATTTCATAAAAACCACACAAAAAAATTCCAAATTTTAATCATTCAAACGCACAACACTACTCCCCTGAACCTGCATAGTAAAAAGAATAACAAAACTTACATAGAAAGAGAATGAATAGTTGAAACCATGAAAACTCTATGAGGTTTGATACGAGCATCGGAGAAGGAAGGAATCTTGTGGGGGTGTAAAGCAAAGTTTCTGTGCATTTTCTTCCCAAACTGTTAAATGAAAATTACTTATTGAAAATTTGGTGCAAAGAGCCATTATACAAAACACGTACACAATGTACGGAAAAATACAAACCATACATTTCAACCTTTATGGTTCACATTACTTACCACTTCGACGAGTTAGGTCGTGGTCGGTTAATGCAGGAAACGAAAACAACGATGGCGCCTGAAAAAATTTCGAAATTTTCATCGCTCGATTCGCGATAGGGACGGAGGACGAAACAACGCAGTGTTTAACGGGCGATGAAGGTGGAGGCGACCATTTTGCTTGTGGTTACTATGTCGTTGGGTAGTCGACATTAGCTCAGTGGAATCAATGGAGGAGGAAATTGTTGGAAATGACCGGATAACCCAGGTGTATTTCCAAAGTGACATTTGACCATCTTTTTAATTAAAAAAACAAAAATTGAATTTAAAGCTCAAAATCCCAAAATACCCCTCGACTATCATCTTTCCATTTGCTCAACAGTCGCACAAAATTGAGGAAAGTCGGGAGAACTTTCGGTTGGAGAACTTGCTAGTCCATCGACGGCGAACTAATTCTTGTTAAGGTAACCGTTATTATATTGAATATTTGCTTGGATTAATATTTAGATTTTGATAAAAGGTGTGAATAATTCATTTGTGGGAGATTTTCTCAATATATTGTTGGTTATATTGGTAATACAGAGTTTAGACAGTGTTTTAATGGTTGGTTTTGTAAATTTGGAAGCTTTTCTCGCCGAAAATGAGATTTTCTAGCGAAAAAAGGGGAGTATTGCCAGCTGCAAGGGAAGTCGGCTTTTTTTTGGTAAAACCCGACCGTTAATAGTTAGGCTTAATAGTCGGTATAACAGTCGGCCCATACGGACTGTTAAGCCGACCCAATTTAGTGGGCCAACTGTCAGTCCAACTATTGGACCGACTGTCGGCCCACTCTTTTTAAAAAAAAAAATTTCAGCCCAATTTTTTTTTTACAAATATTTAATAATTCAATTTTAAATAATTTTTATTATTAGTTTTTAATTAATAATAAATTATTTAGTCGTCGAATTTAAATAAAATTTTTACACTTAATTTTTGTTTTAATATTTATTTTTATTTCCTCATTTTTGATAAATAATAATTTTTTCATTCATGGAATTAAAATAATTATTTTAATTGTGAACTTAAATTTAATATTTATTTTTATTATTAATTTTTGAAAAATAATAATTTATTTAGTCGTCGAATTTAAATAAATTATTTGCTTTAAATTTTTAATTTTATTAATAGTTTTGGATGATATTTTTTTCGTTCATCAAATTTAATTAATTTTTTTGATTGCAATTTTAAATAATTGTTGAAAATTTAATTTGAAATTTAATATTTATTTTTATTATTAGTTTTTGATAAATAATAATTTATTTAGTCATAGAATTTAAATAAATTATTTACTTTTAATTTTTAATTTTATTAATAGTTTTGGATGATATTTTTTTTGTTCATCAAATTTAATTAATTTTTTTGATTGTAATTTTAAATAATTGTTGAAAATTTAATTTGAAATTTAATATTTGTTTTTATTAGTAGTTTTTGATAAATAATAATTTATTTAGTCGTAGAATTTAAATAAATTATTTACTTTTAATTTTTAATTTTATTAATAGTTTTGGATGATATTCTTTTTGTTCATCAAATTTAATTAATTTTTTTAATTGTAATTTGAAATAATTTTTGGAAATTTAATTTAAAATTTAAAATTTATTTTTATTATTAGTTTTTGATAAATAATAATTTAGTCGTCGAATTTAAATAATTTTTTTACTTTTAATTTTTAATTTTATTAATAGTTTTGAATGATATTCTTTTCGTTCATCAAATTTAATTAATTTTTTAATTGTAATTTGAAATAATTTTTGGAAATTTAACTTGAAATTTAATATTTATTTTTATTACTAGTTTTTGATAAATAATATTTTTTTCTTTCATCGAATTTAAATATTTTTTGAACTTCAATTGATTAAAAAAATATTGATAATTGGGAAAGATTGACATTATTGATAATATGATTAAAAAAATTCACATTATTGATGATTTTAATTATTATGAAATCTGCGTCATGCGTATTGTTGTTACAATTTCGTTCGCTAAATTTTCTATTATTATGCTTTTTTCTATTATCACTTGTACAATGTTATAACATTTTAAATTTTTACAGGATAGATTATCATCTTGATGCAGGGTTGAGACAGATGTCAGACAAAGTTACGTGGAATAGTAGTTTTGACAGTTTCAATGCTGTGTTAGAGCTGCTTGATGATCAGCATGTTGATATGTTGCGCTAGTCCTTCCTGTGGTCCTTATACTCGTTGAGAGATCTGCAGTACTCATGTCAGATTATTGATACACTTCTATGTCGATTGTGGAGTCCAGTCAACGGCGATACCCTCCACTTCGCAGTCGAGGGTAAAGTCGCCATTTTTTCGACGTTCGAGTTTACTTTGATCACGAGATTAAAGATTACAGATGATAAGTGTGTTTTTGCACACTTATTTAGGTCACAAACATGATTTAAAAACGAGCAAAATGATTGAATTATGACTTAATGTTGTACATTTGTGAATTGTAGGAAACAACGATGAACATGGTGAAATTCAGGAGAAAAGACGTAAAAAAGGACTAAAGTGACGCAAAGTGAAAGTTCAGGGACCAACAGTGCAAATATCTAAAAGTTGATCCGATGAACAAATCGAGAAATTGATTAGGCCAATTACCAATTGACGATATCGTGGGATGATGAAATGAAAAGAATGAAGAAAAGATGTTAAGAAGTGAAGGATGCAAGTGGGAGGACCAAAATGCAATTTACCCATAGTTGATAGTACTATGCGACCGCATAGTATTATCCTCTATGCGGTCGCATAGTACCTTACCAAAAGCAAATAAGCTTGAAAAATTCCTTCTATGCGATCACATAGAATTGCTCTATGCGGTCGCATAGAACAAAAATTTGAAAAAAAAATTGGTTTCTTTTTTCTTCCGAAACTCTTTTGGAAATAAGATTTTAGGGTCCTATAAATACAAAAACTCGACTAGAATGAAGGGGACGCCGTTTTTACTTGTTTTTGGGAGATTTTGAAAAAGAAACAAAGGAGAAAACAAGAGATAAAGATCGCGCAAATTGAAGATCGGAGTGAATATTGATTCGAGTGATGTCGTTTATTCAAATACTTTTAACTTTTGTTCTTTTCAGCATGTTAGGCTAGATTTATTACTACTAGGAGATCGATAAACCTTGTAATACTACGTTTAATTGTTGTTTTGAATTTTTGACGCATGTGAACACAATTTCCGGAATTGATTGATTTATTTCGTTTTTATTTTCATATAATTATTGTACACGTGATTATATGAATGCGGTGACCTGTTTTATGCATTCAAAAGAAGGAAAATAGGTTCGACATAGTATAAATCGTCATATGGTCCGATAGAGGATAGAAATATACCTCTATGCCTTGTGTAAATCAATTGATATTCGTGAATTATAATGTATGCCGTTATATTAGTATTCGTCATAGAAATATAGTCGAATCATATATTGGGATATGTTTGGCATTGCTCGAGAGAGATTGCTAAATTTAAATAGGAATAGCAATTCATCTTTTGTGGAATTGTGTGTCAAATTTGCATAAATGATTATTGAACGGGTATTGTTTGGGGATTCGTGATCCTAGTGAGTTAGAACATCCATAAATTCTATAAAATTTTAGTTAAATTGCATCCAAGTTACTTTGAACTTGGTATAATCCTCAGTCAATAATTGTATCAACGATTATATTTTGTAAGTTAAAGTAAAAAAAAACGCAATTTGTTTGTCGTGTTTCGGTTAAGGTCATATTAGATTAATTCGAACTAATTCAATCCTCATGGGATCGATACTTGGACTTATAGTCCATTTTACTACTTGTTAACGAACCGTACACTTGCAGTGGATTTAAAATCGAAACAAATAATTTCGCGAACAACGGGCGATGAAGCAGCTGGTGATGGGACTCAGAGAAGAAATAGTCTTCATGAAGCTTACTTCGAGGGATAGGGAACTGTGCTTCTTACACAGCTGTTCGACGCAATTAGGAGGTGTGATAAGATGTTAGACAGACTGAAATTAGGTCTGGTCTACATCCTTGAGAGCGTGGTGCGGTGTCACCACGAGAAGGCTGGGATCGACATCTTCCATCTAGAGATCGTTTACGACATCGATTGTTTGAACGACTATCCGTGGGGCCGAAAATGTCTCGAGGACACCGTACACATTTTTACCAGATCGCACTCGAAGTCAAAGGGAGCCATGCGCAAGTACGACACCTATGGATTGTCCCTGGCGGTGCAGGTAAATGGTTAACATAATGAATGTTAAAAAAATTTCCTATTAAGTTTGTATATAATAATTGTATGTGCTGCAGATCTGGGCATATGAGACCGTCCCCTTTTAGGTGCCCGCTTTGCGAGACGAGGGGAGACACGCTGCCCTCCAATGCACCATTGGATAGCATCTTGATCAGAGGGATGTCTCACTGGGAAACAGTTATGGGCTATCATCGATGACCCTCAGGTGAGTATTATACATTTGTAATTGTGGAACAAACTGAAGAAACTACAGGGAATGTGGGCAAGGAGAATTCCAGTACATCACGGGATGCCATTCCTATCAACCCTCATGAGCCTCCTATTTCGTTTCCGCAGAGATTGAAAAAGTATAAATTGGATCAGCAATACAGTAAATTTCTTGAAGTCTTTAAGAAACTATATATCAACATTCCATTTGCCGAAGCACTTGTTCAGATGCCTAGTTATGTAAAATTCCTGAAAGATATCCTCTCCAACAAGCGAAAGATAGAAGAACACGAAACAATAATGCTAACTGAGGAGTGCAGTGCCAGAATCCAGAGAAAGTTGCCTCCAAAACTAAAGGATCCAGGGAGTTTTACTGTACTTTGCACTATTGGAAATTGTCATTTTGATAAAGCATTGTGCGATTTAGGTGCGAGTATTAATTTAATGCCTCTCTCTGTTTTCAGGAAACTCGGCTTGGGAGAAGCTAAAGCCACAACGGTTACATTACAGTTAGCAGATAGATCTCTTACACATCCAAGAGGGATCATTGAAGACGTATTGGTCAAAGTGGAGAAGTTCATATTTCCAGCTGATTTCCTTATCTTGGATATGGAGGAAGATAAGGGTGTTCCACTTATATTGGGGCGACCTTTCCTAGCTACTGGAAGAGCGATTGTTGATGTTCAGAAAGGGTAGCTTATATTGAGGCTTGGCGAAGAGAAAATCTCGTTCAACGTGTTCAAGGCAATGAAATTCCCGATCGAGTCAGACAGTTGTTTCCAGATTGATGTAATTGATAGAATAATTCAAGATACATTTCGGCTACATCATCCTTCCGATGCTTACAAGGCGTGCATTGCACATTCTCAATCTACTCACACTGATTCGAGTGAGATTGAAACATGTGCACGATTCTTGGAGACTAATCTGCCATACATGCGTAGACGCTACTTCGAAGAACTGGGAACCAGAACTACACAGTCAGTGCCATCTATTCAGCAACCTCCCAAATTGGAACTCAAGCAACTGCCACCACACATGAGATATGCTTACCTGGGGGAATCTTCTACACTTCCGGATATTATTTCAAGTACTGTCAGTGAAGTGGAGGAAAAGAAACTACTTCGGGTGCTAAGGGAAAATAAAACAGCCATTGGATAGTCGATTGCAGATATCAAGGGGATCAGTCCGTCGCTATGCATGCACAAAATACTCATGGAGGAAAAATTCAAACCAAGCATTGATAGTCAGCGGAGAGTGAATCCAAACATGAAGGAAGTGGTCAGGGCTGAGGTATTGAAGTTGCTCGACGCAGGTATCATCTATCCAATATCAGATAGTGCTTGGATCAGTGTAGTACAAGTTGTTCCCAAGAAAAGGGGTATTACGGTGATTGAAAACGAGAAAAATGAGTTGATTCCTACACGAACTGTGATTGGATGGAGAGTTTGCATTGATTACCGTAAACTAAACGCCGCTACTCGAAAGGATCACTTCCCATTACCGTTCATTGATCAGATGCTGGAGAGACTAACAGGGCATTCGCATTATTGTTTTCTGGATGGATATTCCGGGTATAATCAGATTCCAGTAGCACCTGACGATCAGGAGAAGACAATTTTCACTTGCCCCTACGGTACCTTTGCATACCGTAGGATGCCGTTTGGTTTATGCAATACTCCTGCTACTTTTCAGCGCTACATGATGGCTATCTTCTCAGATATGATTGAGAAATTCATCGAGGTCTTCATGGACGATTTCTCAGTGTTCGGGTCTTCATTTGATGAGTGCTTGGAGCATTTGAGTCTTGTGTTACAGCGGTGTACGGAGACTAACTTGGTATTGAATTGGGAGAAATGCCACTTTATGATACAGGAAGGCATCGTGCTAGGACACATAATCTCAGCAACGGGTATTGAAGTGGACAGAGCAAAGATTCAGGTGATCGAGAAATTACCGCTACCTACATCCATGAAAGGTGTTCGTAGTTTCCTCGGGCATGCCGGTTTCTACAGAAGGTTCATTAAGGATTTCTCAAATATTACTAAACCGTTGTGCTGGCTGTTGATGAAAGAATCCACATTTGAGTTCACAGATGAGTGTCTGTTTGCTTTTAATACCTTGAAGGAGAAGTTGATTTCTGCACCCGTGATCATTACGCCAGATTGGAATCTGCCATTTGAATTAATGTGCGACGCTAGTGATTATGCTGTTGGGGCTGTCTTAGGACAACGAAGAAATAAGATATTTCACGTGATTTACTATGCAAGTAAGACCTTGAACGAAGCTCAACTCAATTATGCCACTACAGAAAAAGAGCTCCTTGCCGTAGTCTACGCCTTTGACAAATTTAGGTCATATCTCGTGGGATCAAAGGTCATCGTTTATATAGATGCGTGCTATCAAGTACTTAATGGAAAAGAAGGATGCAAAGCCCCATCTCATTCGTTGGACACTGTTGTTTTAAGAGTTTGACTTGGAAATCAGGGATAAGAAAGGCAGTGAAAATGTAGTGACGGACCACTTATCTCGACTCGAGGCCACAGAACAGACAGAAATAGTGGAAATCAACGAAGTCTTCCCAGATGAACAAATTTTTGGTTTGGGGAGGGGGGCCCTGGTATGGAGACATCGTTAACTACTTAACCAGATCTATAATGCCGCCTGATTACTCCAGTCACCAGAAGAAGAAATTTTTCTCTGATTTGAAATATTATTTTTGGGAGGATCCCATCCTATATAGGCGGGGTGCAGATCAAATTGTTCGTCGCTGCGTACCTGAGGAAGAAGTGCCTTTGATATTAGAACATTGTCATTTATCTACATATGCAGGGCATTTTGGTGCTTCAAAAACAGTAGCGAAGATCCTTCAATCAAGTTTTTATTGGCCTACACTATTTAAAGATGCTTTTGAATTCGTGAAAAGATGTGACCGATGTTAACACACAGGAAATATATCCAGGAGAAATGAAATGCCTTTGAATAGTATCCTGGAGGTGGAACTATTCGACGTCTGGAGGATCGACTTCATGGGGCCATTTCCCCCATCCTTCTCTAATCAATACATATTAGTGGCTGCGGACTACGTATCAAAGTGGGTAGAGGCCGTTACACTGCCTACCAATGATGGGAAGGTGGTGATTGAGTTTCTAAAGAAACATATTTTTACCCGCTTTAGAACACCGAGGACTATAATCAGTGACGGGGGCAAACACTTCTGCAATCGTCAGTTCGAACAATTGTTGGCTAAATTTGGCGTTAAATATCGTGTAGCCACTGCATATCATCCTCAAACCAGCGGACAGGTCGAAGTGTCCAATAGACAATTAAAGCGAATACTCGAAGTCACAGTAAATTCATCACAAAAGGACTGGTCTAAGAAATTGAACGACGCCTTGTGGGCATATAGGACTGCATTCAAGACCCCTATAGGAATGTCACCATATCGACTGGTTTTCGGGAAAGTATGCCACTTACCTCTTGAGATAGAACATCACGCTTACTGGGCAATGAAGAAATTGAATTTGGATTTGAAGGCTGCGGGTGAAAAACGTCTCCTACAACTTAATGAGCTGGATGAGCTTAGAATGGAAGCCTACGAGAATTCAAGAATCTACAAAGAGCGCACTAAGAAATGGCATGACATGCACATTCCGAGACGTGAATTTAATGGTGGGGCAAAAAGTGCTACTCTACAACTCTAGGCTTAAGCTGTTTCCAGGAAAACTGCGATCTGGCCGGTCTGGTCCGTATACTATTACACAGGTTTTTCCACATGGGGCAGTGGAAATCACTCACGACAGCAAGGGGACATTCAAGGTCAATGGACAGCGCCTGAAGCATTATTGGGGCGGTGATTTTTCAAAGGAAAAGTCTACCGTTCATCTTCGACCATCAGAATGAAGCAACACGGTAAAGTCGAGCTACCGACTATAATCTAGCGCTGCGTGGGAGGCAACCTACTGTATCCTTTTATTAGCTTATTTTCCACATTATTTTTAGAATTATTTCATTTCTGCATTTGCATTTTTTTTTAGGGTCATCGATTGTTCTTGCATGTTAATTGGATCGAACTATCATCCCCATAATTTCCTAGGTATTACACACATGTTAGTTGAGTTTGAAACGATGTTGGGTGTTTGGAAACACGGTTCACGCTTTTCTAGATCAAAGAACGTTTTTTTTAAAAAAAATTTACGAGGGAAATACTTTTTTTTTTAATTTTTTTACATTTCAGTGCGATCGCATAATGTCTATGCGACCGCATAGACGGTTACCGAAATAAAAAGGGGGGATATTTTTTCTACTATGCGACCGCATAGATTAGTACTATGCGGCCGCATAGTAGATCTCGGTCATGGTTTTAAACCATGACCGAGACATTCTTCCTCATTTTCCCCCTAATTTCCTCCCACACCATTCTCACCACTCTCCAACACACATCAACAGGCACACATCACTGATTTTCCCGAGCCTGATCAGTGAAATTTGTAGAGCGGCGAGCATACAGGTTCAGGCAGGGGAGGCACCGGAAAAACTAAGTCCTTTTATCAAACGCCTCATACTCGACGCCCAGGACCGCGCCAGAATTAAACATCAATAGAAATTGGAAAACGAGCGCCGACGACCGCAACAGGCTGCAGAGGGGCAAGCAGCTACAGACTTTAAAATGCCACAGGCTCCACCACCACCAGCTGACGTGGACATCCAGTTATTGTGGCAGATGTTTGCTACTATGACTGGACACGGCCGAGACATGCAGTAGCTTCAGCAATCCTTCGGGGCACTAACTACCACCATTCAGCAGGTGCAGATAGATATGGCATCTGCAAGAAACTTCGCGTCCACTGCCAGCAGTGAATCCATCGCAGCACGCCTATAGATGAGTACCTTTGACGGGCGTCTGGGCATGTACGTTAGCCGGATGGACGGTATACAGTGGCGGGTGAACGAGTCTTGGGACCGTCTAGGGAATTTGGAGATGAGGGTTCAGGCCATGCAGATGGAGCAGACCCAACAGCCTGCCATGTTGAGGGAGATCTTGTCTCGCATTTCCTCTCCTCCTGGCGATGATGATGCTGGGCCCAGCTTTCCATCCCAGCCATCGTTTTGATCAGGGGCGTATTGTTTATCCCATTTTGATTCTTCATCTTCATTTTGTCCTTAAAAATTATGTCGTTAATCTTTTGTTAATCTTACATTGAGGACAATGTATTGACTAAGTTTGGGGAGGGCGACATAATTTATTTCAATTTATTTCACATCTTTATCTGTGTTCATTATTATATATTTTCATTACTGCATAATGCATGCATGATTAGTGAAAAAAATTAATAAAAATAAAAAAATAAAAAAAATTAAATTTTTTTCGCATTCTATTCAGTTTGTTTTAATTCTCTTCATGCATGCTTGTGTGGGCTTAATAACCTCGCTCGCTACGATGTTATTATTGAACTAGTTTAAACTGTAAAACTTTGAATCTGGTGTTAATTTGACGAACTGATACATGTTGATGCAGCACATGACATTATCTATGCACGCTATTCATGCTTGATATGTTAGGTGAGTGAATGGATTTTGAGCATAAAGTAAGAAAAAAATGATAACCCTCTATTGATTAACCCATAAACTACCTAAAGATAGTTTGGTGATAGTTGAGCTATTATAGGAAAGCAGTGAGATGTGTGGAGGCTCCGTGCATGAAATTTATTGTGTGGATTGCCTAGACCAGTGGGATGAAGAGTAGGTGAAAATCTTAAATTGGGGGTTGGTTTTGGAAACTAAATGTCTAGAAAAATGACAAAGGGCACAATTTTTATATGTGAGAATAAAACACTTCTTTTCATGCCTTTATGACTAGAGCAAGTAAGCCTGTAAGGATATTTCAACATCTGGTGCCCTAAAACCAACTGGTTTGGGAGTCACCGACTTAAAGTTCGTTGCATGGGTCATATAGAAAGCAAGAAGGAAAGGAGTTAATAAAAAGTCATCTTATCGAGCCTTTATAACTCGAGTGAATAAGCCTGAAAGGGTTTAAAACCTGGTGCCCTACAACCAACTGGTTTGGGAGTCACCGGTCTAAAGCTCGTTACATGGGTTATATAGAAAGCAAATGAGGAGATGAAAATCAATCAGAAATTAAAGAAATGTGAGAAAAACAAAAGAGAGACAAAACATGACGAAAAGCCCTTAGACATTTGGTTGAAGAGACTGTACCTCTGAGGCGAGACAAGTAATCTAGTTTGATCTTGAGTATCAAAGCAATCAAATCTAGGAGAGCCTTCGCTTTTTGAAATGTAGACTTGTGATAGTAATGCTAAATCCGAACTACGAGAGGGTAAGGACTACAACTATATAAATTCCTAATCTTAAAACACAACCCTGGAATAATTGAGTGAAAAGAATAAGTTTGGGGGGTTGTGTATCTCTCGAGCGAGTAAGGATATATTTGACCACTTGGGGTCAGGACTCAGATTCATCATAAATCTGATATGTTGGCATGAATTCACACACACACGTCAATTTGCATTAAACAGGTAAAGGTTGATGTCATG